CGGACAGCCCGATCCCACTCCCGGCTTCGGCCACCAAGCCCAAGCGGGCCAGGGCGGCGCGGCGGCCAGCAGCCCACCCCACCTACTCGGATATGATCACGGCAGCCATCCGGGCAGACAAGAGCCGCGGTGGGTCATCCCGCCAGTCCATCCAGAAGTACGTGAAGAGCCACTACAAGGTGGGCCAGCACGCTGACGTCCAGATCAGGCTCGCCATCCGGCGCCTGCTCCGCGCTGGAGTCCTCAAGCAGACCAAAGGTGTCGGTGCCTCCGGCTCCTTCCGCCTGGCTAAGGCCAGCAAGGCGAAGAGGTCCCCGTCCAAGAAGAGAAAGAAGGCGGCCAGGAGATCCACATCACCCCGGAAAGCGGCTAAGTCCAGGAGAGCCAAGTCACCGGTAAAGAAGCCCAAATCTGCTGCCAGGAAAGCCAGGAAGAAGTCGAGGTCCAGCCCGAAGAAAGCCAAGAAGCCAAAGACTGTTAAGGCGAAGTCGCTGAAGGCGTCCAAACCTAAGAAGGCAAAGCGGTCGAAATCCAGAGCCAAGTCCAGCGCCCGGAAATCGCCCAAGAAGAAGTGAGAAGTCTAGAGGCGTTTCGGTACTCTCCCCATTGGTTCTGTAAATAGCTGTTGCCTTTATATTTACCCCTTTCTATTGCATTTTATAAAAATTGATCTATTCCTGTCTGGAAATAGCTAAAACATGGCAGTTAATGAATGAAAAAAGGAACATCTTTGGTATGGAGAGTTCCCATTTTTAAGAGTTACTGGTCTGAATTTTTATTTTGATGTCTCAGAAATTTCTTGTATGTGTGTCTGTTGTTTTTTTTTAATGCCGGGCTGCTTGTTATGTGTTGGGAGTGATGGTGACTCTGTGTGTTGGTTGAGGCTGTACAGGATTACTGCCCCAGTTCCTGGGGGGTTGTGTGTTTGCTGGGGCTGGGCAAAGATTGCTTGCATTGGGGGAGAAGCAGGAACATACAGCTGCAAAAGCCTCAGCCTTCCCTGGAGGAGATAAAGGGGCTCCCTGCTCCTTCTTCCTCTGCTGTGGGTCCCCACCATAGGGCCAAGGTGAGGTGTGTTGGGCTGCTGGGGGTGAGGTCTGGCTGGTGCTGGAGATAACCAGCAGCAAGGCAGGCAATGGGACTCCCACCTGCTTGCAGAGCTGCCTCAGCACAGCTGGGTGGTGATCAGGACTCTTGGGGCAGGGACGGGATGGAGGAGGTAGAGCAGGGCCAGAGTCTGTCCACATTGGCTTTCAAGGAGCTGGAGGTGTCCATCAAGTGGGAAGTGGGATCACTGTGAGGAGAAAGGATAAACATGGGTATAGGGCTTTGCTCCCTAGGAAGGAACATCTCGAGCATGGCAGTGGGCAGCTCTGCAGCCAGGCTGGGTTGGGCAGCCAGGGCAGGGTGTGGCAGGACTGCTGGGCTCTGCCCCACTGTCATCCAGGCCTCTGGCTCTGTGCCCAGCAGCAGCTGGCACGACTCCAGGGCCTGCCTGGCCCCTGACAGAGCTCCTCCCTGGGCAGGGCTGGGTGATCCTGATGGATAGGGCTGGCACGGAGCCTGCGGGGTGGCCGCACTGCTCAGCAGGGTCTGAGCCTCTGGCCAGAGCTGCCTAATCCCTCTTGGGTAGAGACATCAGAACCTCAGGATCCCCAGCCACCTGGGCCAGGAGCTCTAAAATCCCAGGGGCTCTGGGTGCTCAGTGCTCTTGGACCTAAATCTCATGAGCCCAGCGTCTTCACCCTCCCCAATGGCTCCCAGATCCATTGGTCTGATGTTCCTAAATCACTTAGGCAGATGGTACCTGAGCCTTTTAGCCAGCAGGGATTCCAAATTGTGTACTTCAGGGTACTGAAATCCTTGGCCTGGAGGCACCTAATCTCTTCGGGCTCTCGTTCATAAGACCCTTGGACCAAAAATCTCCAGACCACCTAGGCCGAAGACCCTAAACACTTTTCAAGAGCCTGGTGCCTAATCCTCCTGGAATGAGGGGCATAGACCACTCCGGCCACAGGATTCCCCAGTCAGCTGTAGTGGAGGATAGAGATGCCTGATCCAGCTTGCCCAGAGGACAGGTTGCCCAGGGAAGTTGTGGATGCTCCATGCCTAGAAGTATTCCAGCCAAAGCTGGATGGGACTCTGAAGCAACATGGTCTAGTGGAAGATGTCCCTGCCCATGGCAGGGAGGTTGGAACCAGGTGATCGTTAAGGTCCCTTCCAACCCAAATCATTCTATCATTCCATGACTTTGTGTCTAAAGCCACTAGGCCTGTGGGCCACAAATCCCTTTGGCCAGAGGTGCTCAAATTCCTTGGACTTGGTATGTATAATCTTCACCTGGTAAATGGTAAACCTCTCAGCCCAGCACATTATTGGTCACCACAGCTGGATGCACTCAAATCCTACAGGCCCTTGGTTTGTTACCTCCAGTGGTGGGCACCCATAAACCACCTAGCTGTGAGGATCCAAGTCACCTTTGCTGAGGACTCCAAAACCCGTAAGTGGAGGCACCTAATGTTGGGCTTGTTGATCTATAGAATCATAGAATTTTAGGGGTTGGAATGGACCTTCTAAGGTCATCTAGTCCCAATTCCCCCCAGCACTGGGCACCCCACCAGACCAGATTGCTCAAGGGTTTATCCAACCTGGCTGTGAACACTGCCAGGGTTGGGGCAGCCACAGCCTCCCTGGGCAAC